ATACATCAGAGTAAAAAATAAGCAAGGGCTTCTGCCCCACACCCCAACGACAATAAAGATCATCTGAGCAGCAGGCGAAGTTATTTAATACATGGTCACTTCTCAATAGCGGTGGCTGTACCAGTCGTTGTTGTTGACCTGAAGAAGTTCTGTCACAACCTGCAGGATGTTGTAATTGTGTTTCTTCAGCAGCCTCAGGTTCAGCTGCCTGTCACAGAATCCCATTTCAAAGAGATGGGCCATCAGGGCTGCTGTCTGATCTTCCGAAACTATTGGCTGTGTAGTCAAGAAAAGCAGAACATTTTCGGTATAATTTACATGTTATCTTTCAAGTCATATTAATCTTTCCAGATTTATTAAAAATATCAGGTAGGTAGATGCAAGGGTATGACACTCCTGTCCACCTGATACTAATGGGTCATCTGAGAGGGTAATGGGGAAGGCCCCGTGTTGGATTAGGTATGGTTTGTCCTTAGATCCAGGAGGAGATGCATCAGAGGGGACTTTCAGGAGAAAGCATTCTTTGGCCAGATGAAGGAAAAGATGCAAACTCTGAAAGCCCTATGAAAATAAAGGTACTTGTGAGGATGGGACAAGTATAAGCAAGAGACGAGAGTGTTACTGGAAGTTAGTATGGGAAATTTCGTCAGATGCAAAAGAGCTGCACAAAAAACTGCCTGGAAAATTATATCCTAGGTCCATGCTCGGCAAACGGCAGTTCACGAGCCACATGCGGCTCTTTGGCCCCTTGAGTGTGGCTCTTCCACAAAATACCACGTGCGGGCGCGTACGTACAGTGCGATTGAAACTTTGTGGCCCATGTGCAGAAGCCAGTATTTTGTGGAAGAGCCACGCTCAAGGGGCCAAAGAGTCGCATGTGGCTCTCGAGCCGCAGTTTGCTGACCACTATCCTAGGCGGGGATGAGGCCCAGAAATCAGGATTTTAAAAAGATTCCCAGGTGATTCTAATGTGCAGCCAAGGTTGAGAACCGCTGTTTCAGGGTTTTCTTTCTTTTTTTTAAAAAATATATTTTATTGGTTTTTTATAGAGAGGAAGGGAGAGGGATAGAGAGTTAGAAACATCGATGAGAGAGAAACATCGATCAGCTGCCTCCTGCACACCCCCTACTGGGGATGTGCCCGCAACCAAGGTACATGCCCTTGACCAGAATCGAACCTGGGACCCTTCAGTCCGCAGGCCGACGCTCTATCCACTGAGCCAAACCGGTTAGGGCTCTTTTTTTTTTTAAAGAATAGAAGTGATCCAGGTAAGAGGGGGCTAACATTCATTTACTCCCTCTCGGGGCAAAATTCTATGGTGGACACAACCTTCTTAAATCCTCCTAACACTTGGAATACCCTGACCCTTACCATTTATTTACTGTGTTGAGTATCAATTTCCTTATTTATGAAAATGGAGTATAGAATACATCCTATTTTGCAGCATTGAAAGGATTAAGGTGAGAAAGTATGTACACGTGTTGAGCGTATCTTCTGCCGTTTCCCTCTACACCTAATTCCACTGTTCCCTTCATCCCTCTTCTTTCATTTCAGAATTATCCATCTTTTTTTGCCAAGTTAATCCTTCCACGTGTACTTTGTATCTCATTAACTATCACTACCTCAGCAACCCTTTTCTATTATCCTCCCTCATCTTGACTATTAATCTCCTTTGCTACTAGCTAGCCCATCTTTAAAAATGTTTCCCTCTGATTTAAGTATCCTAGTTTTTACCCTCGTTTTCCCTTGGTAATCCAGCTATTTTGAAAGTAAGGCATTGCACTGTCAACGTCCTTTCCACCTGTTCACATTTCTCTGCCACATTTGAAGCTGCTGGCCAGGTCTTCCTCAAGCTCTAGCACAGAACTCCCTCATTTGCCTCCGAGTTCTCAGTTTTCTCTTTGAAGGGGCCCTCCTTCTTTCCATGATCTTTAAAGGCTGCTTCTTGCTTTCCTGTCTTCCTGGAAAATTGATCCAATCACATGGCTCTTGCTACAACCTATATACAAATGACTATCTCCAGGCCAAATCTCTCCCCTAAGTCAGGTGTACATTCTCAACTGCACTCTGGATAACTTTACCTGGATGTGCCTCTAATTCAGCACTACCTAGACTGATCCAATTTTCTCCTTTTGCTCAAATATATTCTTCCTGCATATCCTTTTTTAAAAAAAAATATTTTATTGATTTTTACAGAGAGGAAGGGAGAGGGATAGTTAAAAACATCGATGAGAGAGAAACATCGATCAGCTGCCTCCTGCACGCAACCCAGGTACATGCCCTTGACTGGTATCGAACCTGGGACCCTTCTTCAGTCCACGCCGGCGCTCTATCCACTGAGCCAAACCAGTTATGGCTGCATATCCTCTCCTAATGAATGGTGCTATTTATTGCCTAAGTCGGAAACTGGGTTTATCCATGACTTCTAGCCATTTAATCATAGTCTCCAAGTTCTGCCATTTCTCTTTATTTCTTTCCCACTTACATATGGATTCTCAAATGGTTTTCCCAGCTCCACTAGCCTCCACACCAGAGTGATCTTTCTACGAACAAATCTGATCATGTTATAGACAAATCGGATCAGGTTAATGACTTCCCTGAAGCTCCTCAATGGCTCCTCCCCCTAGTGTTGAAATAAACTTCAAACCACGTAACACAGCATCGTGCTTGCATAGCAAAGGTCTTATTTTTCTCAGCCCAAATTCACCTTCCAGACTCATACCTCCAAGTCCTTTCACTGGTTACTCTCTGTCTACAATGCCCTTCCTGTAGCTGTCTCTCCTTATTTTGTCCTTTAGAACTTAGTTCAGGCATCACTGACCAGGAAGCCATCCCTGGCTCCACCCAGGAACCTACCCTAGGCTGAGGTGTTCCATCTGTCAAGAACATCGACGCAGTACCTGACACTCTACAGTAAATGTCTGTTTACCTCACCTGTTTCCCACTGTCTATGGGCAGCACTGGGGTCTTATTCATCTGGTAGCACCGGCACTTGGATGAGCTCCTCACACATAGTTCCTCAAAAAACATTAGGTGTTTTTCCTTTCCTCCCTTAAGAAACTTGACCAAAGTCATACAGCTAGAAAGTGGTGGAATTGGGTGTTAACCAAAAGACTAAACCTAAAGCTTGCTTATGCTTCCTACAATGCCATGCACTCTCCAACCCAGATGACATAGTTTTCATTGATGACTTGGGTTTGGTTCAGGAAAATAAATTATGTACTCACCTGTGCAGTGACTGGTGGTCCAGCAAACAAGGCCTTGTATGCAGAAGCAGCAACTGACAAAGCCCCCTTCATCAGTCCCCCAGCAATGCTGCTCCCATGGTGGTGGTGCCTGTGGAAGAAAGCTAAATTATCTCCCTAAAAAACACAAGCCATTATCTTCCTACAAGATAATCTAAGTTCTAATCCTTAAATGCAAATGAAATTTCCTTGAGAAAAAAGAAAAGTTGTAAAAAAAAGAGTAAGTTTTCCTATCAATTTTATAGCTATACATCTTGGTTTGATGTAGGGCCCAGCTCTACTGTTACATGGTATGGGCACTGCAGAAAACACACCACGCTGATTAGCATGCCAGCTTTCAGTCCCAGCTGAAAATTAATGTGGTCAAGGACATTGTGGGGTATTGGCAGTGACTGCTCAATCACCTCAGAGGAGACACCTCCCAAAGGAAATGTGATTTTTTTCTGGACACTGTTGGGAGGAGCCCACCTTGACAATGCTGAGATGACTAGGAGCAGAGAGGCAGGTGTGTCTAGTTACTAAGATGCACAGTGGGCTTGACCTTCCTGGAACTAAGGGTGAGTTGTACTTGAGGGCATCCTTTCTGGTATGGAATGTGAACACTCTTAAACATCAATTTTAACCCTCTGTTCAGTGTTGCTCACAAGTTCTAGAAATGAGAACACGAAGGAATGATGGCTGTCCTCTGCTCTGTGGACATATGCTCCAAGAAGGCTGGTTTAAGCAGAAGCAACACTAGGATATCCACCTGCTTCTGAAGAAGAGGCTGCACAAGGTCCAGTTACCTTGAGTGGTCATAGCTCTTCTGTCTGTTGTTTACAAGTCCTGATGAGCCTCTGGGCTCTAAAAGCAAAAGAGCTATTGGTTAGATGCAGCATCCACACGTGCCTGGTGTTTCCTACCTCAGAGCAAGGCTATCATTGAGGCAGGTGGCAATCTGAGCACAGTGTATAAAGCCTTTTTTCTCTTTTCATATTTGGGAAAATTTCCAGGTGGTTTAAGGGCTAAGAAGAAACTGTCCAGAATGCATTGCAAGGTGACTGTTTATTAAATCAGAAGAAGTGACTCTATAACCCTATCACACTGGTTTATTAGTTCTTAACTACTTTTAGGTTTTGTTTTTTGAGGAAGAGTAGGAAGTGACTTTTGAGGGTCTACTCAGAACTTCATGGTGCTATTTTCCTTATTTTGAAGATAAGGAAACAGACCTGCAGGTGTTATAAACCTGCCAGACCACGGAAAGGTCACACAGTGAGGAAACGTGGAGCTGGGGCTAGAACCTAGACTGGCAGTACAATGCCGACCTCTATGAGGTCTCATTTAATAAATATTAAGCTGGAGAATAGGAAAGGGAGGCACACAGAGTGAAAGGGCAAATTTCTAGAAACTGCCAAGGATCACAAAGACCGAGTGCCTATTTATACCTGGTTTCCATTAGAAAAGAACATAGAAAAAGAAACAGCTCAGACTGGTCATTACCTCCTCTGATCTGATCAGGGACTGAAGAAACTTCTGGTATGGTAACCGGTAAATCCACTCCTGGGGAGCCATGCTGCTGTGCACAAGGAGGGCTCCTTCAGAAAGACACAACGTGGAAAGTAAGTTGAAAAGGCAGCTGTGGTCACGGTGGGGAAACAGTACACAAAGCACAGCAGTGCCAATTCTCTGCAGAAGCTTCACATTTCTGATCCAGATCACATGTCTGAATTTAGGGATCAGGTGAGAAGGACTCATTCTCCTTCTGGTTTTCCTCTTCAGCCACAGTCAAGCTAGAAAGACTGGCTTCAGTTTAGTCACTTTCCCCTGTATCAGTGGCTGGCAAACTGCGGCTCGCGAGCCACATGCGGCTCTTTGGCCCCTTGAATGTGGCCACGAAGTTTCAATCGCACCGTATGTGCGCGCCCGCACGTGGTATTTTGTGGAAGAGCCACACTCAAGGGGCCGCAGTTTGCTGACCACTGCCCTATATCAACTGGTGCTGATAAAGGGAAATGTCTAGCTCCCTGGGAGAATGGTTTAAATTATAGTCCAGGCTCTACGTAGACATTTTCCATCCTATGAGAGAGCAATGACACAGGTGGAACCCAATAGAGAATTAAAATAACTTCTCTCTAGTAGTTTCATATTATACTCTTTCCTTAACAGATTAAAGTTCCTAATTATACTTTGTTGGGTTAATATGAGAATTAGTTTCTGCTGCGTTTGCCCACGAGTCAATAGAACAGGGAGAGAAGGTCCAGGGATGTTTGCGCTTAAAAACTGGCTCTCAATGATTAAAACGTAAGTAGATCATGATACTCAGATATTTAAGGTTAACTAAAACAGGTATTTCTTTGAATCCAGAATCCACAAATAACTGGGAAGTACAACTTTTATTCATCTAAAGTCAGACTTTACTATGGGAAATAGTCTCTTCCCATGCTCATACACACACATACAAAACAAGTTTTGAGATCAAATTGATTCCTCTCTTTATTCCACCTTTGAAGAACAGCCCAGCTGAGGGGTGTGTGGATGGTACCTGGGCAGCCGTGGTGGAGGGCCCACCACCTCTGGGGTGAGTGGCACTGTATCCAGAGTCTGTGAGGTCATGAGGATGTCATTGATGCTGTACCCCTGCGGCTGGGTCTCCCCTCCAGGGGGTGTTTCCCCAGCCTCGACTGGTTCCTGCCCAGCCTCAATCCCAGGCTCGCCTTCAGCCCCTCGCTCCAGGCCTGGCTGTGAGAGGGCAGAGCTGTACATGGAGTCCCCCAGGGGGCGGCTGGTGTCAAAGCATTCAGGCAGGATGATGATGTAATCCTCTGAAGAAGCAGAGGACTGACTCTGAACTTCGTCTTTGAGCTCATCCTCCTCATCCTCTTCTTCCTCCTCCACAATAGCCTCTTCCTCAGAGATATGGACCATCTCCTCTCTCTCATCTCCAAGTGGTCCTTCCTCAGGTGAGGCAAATTTCACTGAAGGATGCAAACAACCAATTTTTAGGCATAAGCTGAAAGCAGCCCCTGGAGCTACCCTTCCCTGGTAAAGCCTTGTGGGTCATGAGCTGCAATTATAAAAGCCAGAGGAGAGGGATGACCCAGGGGAAGGGTTGTTGCTGGAATCGTATCATGGCCATGTTCTAAGTCTGAAGCCTAAGCAAAGCTGAATGAAACTGAAGCTCACAAAAATACGGTAGGCAGAAACATCCTCAGCTCTGATTCTTAATATTTTTTATAATCGGTTTTTTACAGAGAGGAAGGGAGAGGGATAGAGAGTTAGAAATATCGATGAGAGAGAAACATCGATCAGCTGCCTCCTGCACACCTCCTACTGGGGATGTGCCCGTAACCAAGGTACATGCCCTTGACTGGAATTGAACCTGGGACCTTTCAGTCCCCAGGCCGAGCTCTATCCACTGAGCCAAACTGGTTAGGGCAGCTCTATGATTCTTAAAACTAGGAGGCTCCATCCGTTTCCTTTTCATGTAATGTTTAATATACTGAGACGGGTCAAAGCAAAATTGATATGCCAGTTTGCATTGCTATAGAGAGAGAAAACGTTAGGTGGTGAGTGTTGTAGGACTATATGCCTACTTTCCTCCCGCTCTTTGCAGAGTAACGAGTAGTCATGGTAGAAAATTGGCAAAACATGGCTGAGAAAAAAAAGAGTACCTATAATCCTAGAGATAACTACTGAAAACTTTTTTTTTTTTAACTTTAGGGAGAGGGAGAAAGGGAAAAAAAACATTAATGTGAGAATAAGACATTAATTGGTTGCCTCTTGCACACCCTTTTGAGGGATCAAGCCTGAAACCCACGCATATGCCCTGACCGGGAATTGAACTGGCAACCTTTCTGTGCATGGAACAATGCCCAACCAACTGAGCCACACTGGCTAAGGCACTACAGTGAACATTTTGATGTTAAGTTCTTCCAGATTTTTAAGTTATGCACTTATGCACAAGCGTGTGCGCGCAAGTATTTTAAACAAAAGTAAAACAAATAATACTTAAAAGTTATAGGTCAAATTTCATTATAATAAGAGATTTTCCCATATTATTTTGATGCACTAGAATTTGAATTTTTAGATAGTTCTTGAAATATGCAGTACTGAAAACTAAAACCATTTCCCCTAAGAACAGGAACGAGACAGGGATGCCCACTTTCACCACTCTTGTTTGACATAGTGCTGGAAGTACTAGCCATAGAGATCAGACAAGAAAAAATAAAAGGCATCCAAATTGGAAAAGATGAAATATGCAGTACTGGTTCTACCTATCTGATATCTAGAAATTTCTGTTATAGAGAAATTTATTATAACAGAATTTAAATTGGAGAAACTTAGTTCGGTGCTCCTGCTTCTCCCCACTATTTCCTGGACTGCTGCCCTTAGAGAAAAGAGACAATTCAGCTGCCAAATGGGGGTTTCTGCTAGGGAGGTCTGTCAATTTACAGGAAAACTCCTCACTGCAGAATCCAGGCAGCACTAGCTGCTGTTCCTCTGTAATTCTGCCCTGGGAAAGGATAGAAATGAGTTATGGTGGCTGCTTTGCTCCTGAAGCTAATTAAAAAGGCCAAGTACAGTATGTAGAGTCTAAAGAAACAAACATGATCCGAATTCTAACAAAGATCACCTTGCCTCCATTCTCAGTGAAGAGCACTTGTACCTATTCAGGTCTGACAACCACAATTCAGACACCACCCTCCTATGTGGGGGAATTCAGGACACTCACTGTGCAGAGACTTCTGTCTGCAAGGTGGGTTGTGGTCTGGGGCAGCATCCAAGGTAAGGGATCGGATTACAGTCTCACACACGAACTGGGTCCCACTCAGGTCATCTTCTGCCTCCTCCACTGAAGTAATATTCTCAGCCCTCCTCTTTGCTGATGCTGTGGAATCTGAAAGACATGAACCTTGTCTACACTTGGTGTTTAAAGCAGTGGTTCTCAACCTTCTGGCCCTTTAAATACAGTTCCTCATGTTGTGACCCAACCATAAAATTATTTTCGTTGCTACTTCATAACTGTAATGTTGCTACTGTTATGAATCGTAATATAAATATCTGGTATGCAGGATGGTCTTAGGCGACCCCTGTGAAAGGGTCGTTCGACTGCCAAAGGGGTCGCGACCCACAGGTTGAGAACTGCTGGTTTGAAGTGTTAAGAACCTTTCTCCAGTCATGTACCCATGCTTGATACTACACAAAGGAATGGATACTATCTATTCCATGTCAACATGAGACTTAATATGAAATGCTACAGGAAAACAATTTATAAGCCAAGGTAGGATTAGTTGGGAGAAAGGGGGTATCTATAAAAAAGGTGTGGTATGAAAGGGGAGGATGGAAATACTTTACAAATATTTAACCCCTTACCAGAGAGAGCTTTAAGTCCCGCCCCTTCACTCTCTTCCTGTATCTGCCCCAAGCCTGGCTTCTCTATTAAAGGGCTGTCATGTGGCAGAGGAGACATGCAGGGAGTCATATCTGGAGAAGGAAGACAGGAGAACCATCAATCAAGAAAAAGCATCACATCATCAATAGTCAGTGTCCAGAAGCAGCAGCTCATTGGCTTCTTGCTTCCTACAGGGCTAATATAAACTCAGGTATGCTTCAAGACCTGTTGTAAAGATTTCTCCAGACTATTAGGTACGTAAGTGTCTCAGACAGATGAATCAATGCAGGATGTATCATAAACAGTTGTCTGGTCCAGAAGGCAATGTGCAAGACAGAACCATGAACGTAAAGAACAAAGGGACACAAACATCTAGAGAAAAATGGAGATGAGGGTCTCTTTATGGTGGGGAGGCTTTATACAAACTTGTATTGTACAGAGTTCACTCATTACCCACTTTACCTGGCTTCCTTTATGCCTGTTAATAAAATAAGGTGGGTTTTATGACAGTCTTACCTACAGGGGTGTTATGGGGCACTCTCTCCAACTCTTGGACAATGTTAATATCCAACAGCTCAAAGGACAGCAGATCCTGGGGAAAAAAATAGGCAATGTTAGGCAGTACACACTGGAATAATGTTTTGTCTTCACAGGATTTGCAAGGCCATTGAGCTCCACATCATCCTAGATTGAACTCTGTTCAAATTCATGCCCCACCTCAGCCAAGTGCAAACAAGGAAGAAGAGTTAAATGGATACTAGATATTCAAATAACCAAATGGTAGAAAAGAGAGAAAATGCAGTGGGGGTGAAGGAGAACCAATATGAAGAGGCAACTAAAGGGAAGATGTGGTAAAGCAGAAGATTGAGTTCCCAATTCAAAAAGCAAGCATTTAGCTTATTAACTCGCTTCTATAGATCTTGCCATTCAGTGCATCTGACTGAATCATGGTGGGCATATCTCTAACTTTCTGGGCACTATCTATGGCTATACAATAAGGTGGGTTTTATGACAGTCTTACCTACAGGGGTGTTATGGGGCACTCTCTCCAACTCTTGGACAATGTTAATATCCAACAGCTCAAAGGACAGCAGATCCTGGGCAGTTAAAAGGTCCACAGATGGGATGTAGAGCTCCCTCTCGCTGGCAACATTTTTTGTCTTCTGTGGCATGTAGGTTCCTGTCCCTTCTGTCTGTTCAGTTGCCCCAAGCTGAATTTCTTCTTTAGCCAGAAGAAAAGTTTCCTATAGAGAAAAACCATTGGGAGAAATGTTAGGCCTTTCAACAGAACTCAACAAGGCAAGCTGACGAACACCGCAGCACCTTATAGAAAAGTTGCAAAAATAGTACAGAGTTCACTTAGTGCCCCCTTCACCTAGCTTCCTATAATGACAACTTAGGTTAACCATAGTATCAACAGTCAAAACCAGGACATTAACATTGGTAACTAAATTTCAACAGTAAACACTCTAAAAAAGTGCCCATCTAATACAGGGAAATTGCCTAAAAAAACTGCACCAAGTAACAACTAGGGCAAGACTTCCTTAGTATGTAGGGGACACACACAAGGGACACTCAGGAGAGATGAATGTTACGGAGCAAAGCCATCAGTTCCACAGGCCAGCCAGGCAGTCCTACTTCCCCTAGTGTAGCAGAGGCTGGCAGTGCATCATTACAAAGACATACAGAAACACTGAGGAGCACCTGCACCAGATCCTAAGGATACACAAAGCCCCCTGAGTACTAGGCCCAATATAAGCATATCCATGTTTTGGGGGGATAGGAGGGAGCCAATCTTTCCAGATTTCTGAAAGAACCAGCAGCTATGAGTGGGCTCTTTTAGCTGGTCACCTCTTCGTGCTCACCTCTTGCTGGCAGGTGAGATCACCAGTTTTGCTTGAGTTAATCATGCTCTTTTCAATGTTATCAGAGCTTTCTGTGGAGCAGAGAGGATCTACTATGATACTGCACCAGACCCGAGGTCCAAACTGCTGGCCTTTGTGAGAAAGCCGCCAGTGGGAAGTGTATGTTCCCTCCAAGGCTGGGGCAATGAACTCCACAGACACAATTCCCACATGGCCAGCCTTGAGGCAGGGGACCAAAACATCCTTCTTTTCTGTTGAAGCCATAGTTAGGTTCCCCCACATGAACTTGAGCTGAAATGAACAGTGACAAGAGAAAGAAAGCAAGCTTGTTAGCTGAGCACTCTGCCACTTCAAATCATTCATCTTCACATTTTTGTGGGAAAAATACCTTCGTATCTGTACTCCACTTCACATTTCCTGTATTTTTCATCCTCCAGTGTTTGATAAACTTGGTTCCTGGCTGAAGGTGAGTCCCATCAGGCAAATTCTCATCCACAAATGCTGCACTGAGGGTTGGCATAACTGGGGCACAGGGCTGCAAAGGGAGCCTGAACAGAAATTCAGATAGTCACCTGCTGTTGGATGGCTTCTGAACATCCAACACTGTAGTTTGAGGCTCTGACTGCTGAGGATGCACTAATGCATTTGCCTTATAAGTAATACTAATAACATTTTTTAACAAATAGAAGACAAATCTGACTCCTGAACTAAAAAGCTAGGATGAGGATCTGTAAATAAAACAACTGAAGAGTCAGACTTAAATAACTACCAAACCACCCTTTTAAAGAATGTTAGGATCAGAGAATGGGAAATTTAAGAGTTTGGGTGTTAGGAGCTACGAATAAATATGAGAGATGTTTGCTGAAGTTCTAGTTTTAGAGGGCTGGACCGCAAGACTTGGCTCCCACTCTGGCCCTGGGCTTACATTAGGGTGTTAGACTGCAGTAAGCTCTCAGGTCGGCCCAAGGGACACTTGGGGCTCTGGAGTCCATGGATGGAATTCCACAGATGAATCTTCCTGCGGAGTTTAAGCTGCTTTTTAAGTTCCTTGACCTCTGCTTTACGCTGTTTCTTCTCAGCTCGCAACCTTTGCTTTTCTGCTTTAAGAAAATTCTTGTCAACCTGCTTCTGGAGCCTGTGAGACAACAAATGATTGTCTTAAAAACAAACCTCACAAATCTTGAAGCTACTTTGAGCTTCTTGTCGTCTCTATCAGTGCCAGCTTATAGTTTAGTTTCTTTCTTTCTTTCTGTCTTTTTTTAAAAAAAATATATTTTATTGATTTTTTACAGAGGAAGGGAGAGGGATTGAGAGTTAGAAACATCGATGAGAGAGAAACATCGATCAGCTGCCTCCTGCACACCCCCTACTGGGGATGTGCCCGCAACCAAGGTACATGCCCTTGACCGGAATCGAAGCTGGGACCCTTCAGTCCAGAGGCCGACGCTCTATCCACTGAGCCAGACCGGTTAGGGCTAGTTTCTTTCTTTAAAAATTAAATTTATTGGGGTCACACTGGTTAATAAAATTAACCTCTTTCTGCAGTTCTCATTTCCATTTCGTTAGCTTTGGATAATTGTCCCCATCATCGCACATCAACTAGAAATGAGCCAGAAATAAGTAGACTATTTGTAGTTTTGTGACTCACCGCCTGTCACCAGAACCAGGAAGCCAGAGAACACACATCCCATGTCTAAATGGTTTACCTGGCTTGTTCCAGAGCAGCAGGAAGACGAGGAGTAGAGAACCTTGAGTGAGAGAACGATTCAGAGGAGCCCACAACAGGTCTCCGCAGCTTCAGGAGGACATGGTTGGAGTCATGGACATAGGGCCCGGATTCACAATCTTCACAGATATTGTAGGATGGGCACAGGCTATGGGAGAGAAAAAGGCACAGTGGGAAATACATGAGGTAGGGAACTATGAGACCACACTCCTGTATTTGCTCTATTACCAGTTAGGTAGTAACCTGAGCATGCTATCCAACTGTGCTATGTACTAATTTTCCTCACTAATAAAATGAGGACAGAAACAATTGACCTATATCTATTTCAAAGGA